CGCGGGAGATCCCGATCGCAGGAGAAGCCCGATGCGACGCGGGAAGGTCCGATGCGGGAGATCACGGGAGAAGCCCGACGCGATGCGACGCAGATGATCGGAGAGAGGCGCGATCTGTCGAGGAGCGGCGCTTGGATACGGGCGATCGGGGTAGCCGCAAATTGGGGCAGCGCTCGGTAACGACGACGATCGCGGGAGAGAAGGGCCGTGATCGAGTCGAGCGGGAGAGACTTTGATACCATGTGAGTTTTTGAATAATTCTTTTTCTCACTGAATACATAGATAATTCACCTATAAATAGGTGAGTACAAGTGAGTACAAGAGATGAGGAAAGAAATCTCCATACAATTAAGTACATAAATACCAATAATTAAGGAATTACCCTTTTTATATTATGATTAAATATAGCAAGTACTTAAATAGAATTAAAGAAATAATAATGAGCGTAATTCCACAATTTGCACTTTTTAACAACCTTTATTTATTTCAAACACAACTTAAAGAAGGTGCTCTTCTTCATAGAATAGGTTTTCTCGATAGGATGAAAACTAGGCTCTATAACTTGGGGCCTGTTTTGCATCACTTTTATTACTTGTTTTTTTTTTTTTAAATATTTTTTGGTTTTTGAAAAACAAATCAACTTGTTTTAAGAAACACTCAAAAAATTATTTTGATTGTTTTGAGAAACAAAGATCTCAATCAAATATGTTTTAATTTAAATTAAAATAAAAAAAAAAAACAAAATGAAAATGAAAAATTAAGAACAAAAAACAAAAGTGATCCCAAACGGCCTTCGATAAATTGAATTATATTTTATTTCAGTTGTGAACTAATTGTGTTTCTCCTTTCTAAAGGCCTTCTTTGATGTGCCAAGTGGGAATGATCCATTGGCATTAGATATGAGCAGCATGGGAAAGGGACAGATATGGATAAATGGGCAAAGTATTGGCAGGTATTGGCCTGCATACACTGCAAGCGGTGATTGCAGTTCATGCGATTACCGTGGAGAGTACAATGAGAAAAAGTGCCAAAGTAATTGCGGGGAACCCTCGCAAAAATGGTGGGTGGTATTTAAAATCTTCAAACATCATACTTTCAGATTTTATTTCTTTTGTAGGAGTCAAGTGGAAACGAAATGTTGTCTTTTTAATAAATTTTTTTCTTTGCAATTTATAGTAAATTAGTTTCACCAAGAAAAAGAGAATTATTTATGATTCACGGACACGGACATGGACACAACATGACACACACATGTGATACTTCTATTATTGAAAATATAGGGTACAAATATCCGTTTGACACGACAATATAATATAAGGGAACACATACATACCACCAATGCTTATGTCTTTACATATTTAACACCCAAAATTTGCATTTTACATTTATACTACCCAAATCATTCATATCATGTCTAAAATACCATTATTTTAACTGTTTTAAATGTGAAATACACCTTTTATATGTAAAAATTAGATATGTAAATACGTCAGAATTGAGTGGTGTGCACGTAAAACTTTCTAATATAATTTGTAAAACATAGATAAAAATAAAATTAACAGAATATTAAGAATAATAAAGAAGAGATAATAAAAATGGTTGATGATATTAACTTTGAAAAACTAAAAGAGATCCATAAATATTGTTTAGTTTATGATATTGAAAAATAAACATCAACTTTTTTGTATTACATCAAGATAAGCTAAACTTTTAAATAAAAAATAGAATAATTTCCTTAAAATTTTAATATTTAAAGTATATATTTTAAAAAATATTTTTAGAAAATTTTAGTCCATTAATTTATGATATGTGTTCGACATGCGTGTCTTTTTTTTAAAAACTTAAATTGGGCACTTCAATACAATGGTCCACAAATGTTGGAGCCATGTCGGAGGCATGTCCGTGCTTGATACCTGCTAGATATCTCACTGCTTCTTAAGTTGGAGTATCTGTGCATCATAGAATACATGTATGTCTCTTTATGATTCTATGCCTAAACAGTAGAAAACTCAAGTAAATATGAAGCATGAGTGGCATTATGTAACAACATAATTCACAGCAAACAACAGGAGATTCTTCTACCATTTTCAGTTCTTTTCTTTTTTGTTTTCTTAGTCACTTTTAGTTCCTTTGGGATAAAAAACAGAATCTTATGCTCCAGGTTTTTCCCCATCTCAGGTACCATGTTCCTCGCTCATGGCTAAACCCAACTGGGAACTTACTGGTTGTGTTTGAAGAATGGGGCGGGGATCCAACCGGGATTTCACTGGTTGCCAGAACTGTAGGGAGTGTCTGTGCTTACGTTTCTGAATGGCAGCCATCCATAGCCAACTGGAGAACCAAAGAGTATCGGAATCCTAAGGTTCATCTGTCTTGTGAGCAAGGAAAGAATATAACAAGCATAAAATTTGCAAGCTTTGGCACTCCAGAAGGTCTCTGTGGAGGTTACTCGGAAGGCAGCTGCCATGCTCATAAATCTTATGGTTTATTTGAGAAGGTAAATTCATCCCTTTTAATCAAACATGACTCCTTGAGAATTCAGACATTGAAGATTCTATAACCTTAATGGTTGTGTTGTGCAGAGGTGCATTGGTCGTCAGTCATGCGCCGTAGCAGTTGTTCCTGAAGTTTTTGGCGGAGATCCGTGCGAGGGGGTAATGAAGTCAGTTGCAGTGGAGGCCATCTGTGGGTGAAGTCCAGTTACAGAATCAGTTGTTACAGAATCATGAATCAAATTTTCTCGTATTCACACAAATTTTTACAGGTTTTTAAGCTTCAATTCTTATAAATAGATTATGGCATTGGTAGTTTGGTGCATTGGTGATAATGGTGTAGGCAGAAGGCAGCACCATGATTGCAGTAGATAAGTAGAGTTTACAAATGGGAATTGTTGGATGCAGAAAGTAATCAAGAGGTTGAAGATCAGAACTTTGACTTACAGAGGAAGAGGAATCTCAATTTCAGTTTGTTATGTTACGAACTGTGGCCATTGATTTTGACTTCAGTTTGAAGCTTGTGGGATTTTTTTTTTTTTAAATCATTGGAGCATTTTGATTCAAAATTCTTGTTTCAATCTTCTGATAATTGAATACATCATCTTGTATCTATTTATTCCATTGAATGGATTTCTGTATGATGGACCATATTTCTTGGCATCAGTGATGAACAATGATATGAGGAGAGGAATTTATATTTAGAGAGGTGCTTCATTAGTTTTTTTATTCTAAAGTTATCTGAATAAAAAAAGTAATGAAATAGATAGAACATTATAAAATTCAAACAAAAAAATGAAATAAAATACATTACTAACACATTCCTCTACTGTTTACTTATTTATAGTACAGTCTCTTTGAATTATTTAAATAAGAAATAATAAGTTATAAAAAATCAAAGTGAAAAATTTACATTTTTAAGTCATAAGAGGCCAATGAAAAGAGAACAATATGCATATTGAATATCCTGCTGATCTTCAAGAAAATTGTGATAAATTGAATATTTTGATAATATTATGATTAAATAAAGTATCAAAAAATTTAAATTATAATATATTTTTATTTTTTGTACAATAACTTTTTCTTTGCTTTTAATATTTACATTTCTTGTAAACTTTTGATATCGTATATATCAATAGAGTGGGATGTGTCCAATTTTCATTATTGTCTCATGTGAGGAAAAAAAAAAACTTGTTTGGATTCAATAGTTTTGCCAATTAATACTATAATGAGTTTTGCTTTGATATGCATTATCTTTTTTATGTTGATTTTATTATTTGTATATGGAATCTAAATGTCATTTTGTGTATGTAATGTTTTGTTATGTGGGACTACTAAGCAATCAATGTGAAGCCAAAAATGTGTCTTGTCCTAATAATGACATATTCAACAATAAAAAGCCTTAATCCCACTACGTGGGGTCGGCTACATGAATCATTTTTCTCCATTGCGTCCTATTTAGTGTCATTTCATGTCGTGATTTTTTTGACAAATTTTATGTTGGTTGTTGACTACCTAACGCACTCATTTACTTTTCACATCCGGGTTTGAGATCGACAATGACAGTGTTAAGTAATATGTCATATTATTAGAAAAAAAAATATAAAGTCATTAAAAAAAATATATATATATTTTTGGGGTAGAAATTTCTATGATAATGTAAAACTTATCTTGTTAAAAATTATAATATCTTCTATATATAATATTAACTCGTGTTTAATGATCATACTAAGCATAGTGTTGAACTTAATTAATTGTAATTGTTTTAAAATGCAAAATCATGAAAAATAAATTATGTTAAAACAAAATCATAATTGCTATAAGTGTTTTTTTATATGAAATGCTTTTCAAAGAAAATCTTAAATTCTTAGTTAAAATCGTGCATAATTATAAAAATAATATTACTAAATTTAAAATGTTAATATTCAATAAGTAATTAGACTTTACATAAATTTGGTATTTTCGTTTGGCCTAACCAATATACTTTGAAATGTTCTAATTAATCTACTCAATATAATATTTCTAACATCTATGTGTTAATAAAAGCCCTTTTTGTAAATCCAAAAAATCAATATTAAATCAATGCAAAACTATAGCCTAAAGTATTTTCTTTGGAATAAAAAAAGCTAGAGTATTCACCTAAATTTATTAATATTTTGTTTCTAGGAAAAATGCATCAAAAACTCAAAAAAAGGTAAACTAGCGATCTCGCAGTGGATAATTATACCCTGAGGCGGTGTTTTGCAGAAAGTGGAGCTCGAGCAAGCAATAGAATAGGATCAAATAAATTTGATAAATTCGATGAATCTTGGCAATGAAAATGGAGCTCGAGCAAGCGATAGAATAATTTATAAATCCGGCTTGTAATCAGATTTATTAAATTTAGATTTACGCCTTTAAAAAAATGGAAACCGGGAAAAGTAGATAGAACGCGAAAAATTTGATCAAATGTAGCATTTGATTCAGGTTTTATTCTTTTCTTATGTTTGGTTGGATTTAAGTTAAATCCAGTGGCTAAATCCATTAATAGCATGCTAACGAACATCTCCTAAGTGCTCACTTTCACCTAATTTTTATCGCAACTTCTACTTAAGTTTAGGAGAAGAAAATCTACCTTCCCACAATTCAGATCAGTCCAAAATCGGTGGCTTGCATGCTCGCTTTCGGTGCACTTGATTTGGCTCTAAAAGGATGCTTCCTCAACACGAGCCCCTTCCGCTCTAAATCTAGTCATGCCCACATGCCCGTTGAATGTGCTAGCCCGACCTTTGTTACCTGTGTGAGGAACGTCTCATGCTAGCTAAAGCTTAATTCCAAGAACAACGTGCTAGCCAAAGCTTATTTAAAACTTGTTTATATTAAATTAAATTAAATTTTATATTCATAATATATATAATAAGATAAAAGCCTCTCTGTAAAATTAACCATTTATTTTGTGCATTTATATGCTTATTTTAATTATTTATTTAATAACTTGTTCATTTAAAAGCTATTTTTGTACAAATGACTCATTTATAAGCTCTATAAAGCTTATTTGATTAGAAAATAATTAACTGAATCATATCACTCATTAGTTTGTTTGATAACACTATTGTGATTAAAAAATAAATAACATGATAGCCCTAACTTTAATTTGCTTGATAAATGTTGTTTGGATAGAAATTAAATAGTTTGATAACACTACTCATCGATCTGCTCGATAATGAATCAATTATCATTATATGAAATGAACATGAATCAACTCAAAAGTCAGAAAGACAAATGAACTAAGCTTCAACTTATACACAAGAACTTCACTTGTGCACGAGCTCAGCCTAAGCTTGAACACAACCCTAAAAGCTAGATTTAAGCCTGAGTAGAGCTCAAGCTTGAATTTTAAAAATAGGCTCAAACTTTATCACAACTCTAATCAGTTCAGTTAATTTGTAGCCCAAATGGCCAGCATGGATAGCTAGTGAGGCAAGGATAATGAAAATCTTTATGAAGAATGTGGTTGTAGTTGACGGATCTCTAGTAATAATATAGTCAGTTGTTGATGGTTATGTTTCTTTTTAAACATTCAAAGTGACTAAAAATAAAATTAATTTAAAAAAAATTAAAAACATTTTTTAACCAAGAAAAAAATATAAAATTATAAAATAAAATTGATGCCAAACAAAATCTTAAATTTTCCATATAATTTAGAGTTTATTTACTTTTATAATAAAATTACTTTGATTGCCCCAAACAATGAAAAAACAAATGTTTATGGTTTCAATATTAAGATTATATTTGAAGTTTCATCAAACGACTTTTTTTTTATCAAATGATAAGAGAAAATTCAAGATTTTAAAAAAAATCACAAACCATTATGGAGGTTTAACTTTAAGCTAAACTTCATCATGACTCGTCGAAGGAGTTTCTTGCCCCCTAAAATCTAGTATATTATATTGTGAAAAGTAGGTGATTCAAACAAATTAACTATTACCCTCTCTTTGGTTGCCAACCATGTTTTGTACAATATCTACATAATTGTGAAGGAAATATCCTCACAATCATGTGCTAAACTATACTTATGTAAGATCCTACATATAAGTGCTCACATAACATAAGTTTTGATCATTTTATTAAATATATTGTTACCTCCAAATATCAAAATCTCGACTTTGCAATGGAATTTATTTGATTTTTAACACCTCTTCCATCATGAAGAGAATAGCCATCTGCAATCTTTAGATCTCTTCTTCCAATAAAAGAAGATGTTCTGAGTATGAAAGAGGAAGAAGGAAAAAATGACGATCAAACTAAGTCCAACGAAAGATGATATTCCATCGTGTGTGTGTGTGTGTGTGTGTTTTGTGTTAGGAAACTCAAGCTCAATTGCACTTAGCAATGCCATTTTGTTGTGACATAAAAGGAATGAAAAAGTACAAAATTGGGAGAAAAGTTTGTAGAGAATGAAAAACGCACTACTTAATATGTGCTTAGTATTTTTGGGAGAATTATATATATATATATATATATATATATATATAT